TATGTCTTCATTTCCAATGGCTGTGGCTGTTGAAGAGAAAGCTTGAGGGAGCTCCTGTACCTGATCTGAACCTATTATGCCAGAGAACAGCTTCATTGCTCTGGCCCAGCAACTCCATTTGTAATAATAATATAATTGTCCCTTCATGAGCTTAGTATATCAACAAAGACTATGTGTAGAGCAGTTTGCAGATCTAGCTAAACTATAACTCTATAAATATTTAGCATTTAGGCTGATTGCTGCAATACCACCATTACATTATCTTTAGACTTTAATAATACACTTCAGGATTCAAAGAAAAGTACATGCTGTCTAAAGTGCATAAAAGAACGTTTCTCTTTCTTTTTAAGATAGGCAATATACAATTAATTTTTAGAAGAAATGGGGTCATTATTATTAGAAAAGTAAAACATTTCTTCTACACTATTTTCTTTCTGGAACAGAATTTTGTATTCATCTTGCCTTGTATTCAGAGAGTTTTAGTCACTAAAATATTCATCAGAACCTTGAAATTAAGAACTATCTATTTATATGAAGCCCCCATTAATGGAGTACTAGAACTACACTCTAATGAGATTCATACTTAGTTTTCTTTTTCATCAAGTCATCCAGTGATATTTTCATAATTGTTGTGCCTTTTGCAATTTTGAAGTACAATATTTATTTATATGCATATCACCGTGGTAATAAGTAGAAGAGAACAGGTTATATAATATATAAAATGCCTCTGTTGATCTTACTATCTGCTAAGATGAGGAGAAGAGCACTCCCATGACTAGATATACTATCCCATATTACAAGGAGAGAAAGTGAGGCTTAAGGAAGGTAGGTAACTTGTCCAGGGTCTCATAGCAAGTAATAGGCACCAATCCATACCAAGATTGGAAACTGGATACCTCTAAAAACTATTCTTTATTACCATTTATTATTATTTATTACTATGTGCATAGCCATCAAATACCTTAAAGTATTATGTTCCATATGGCCTGAACCAGTCCGAAAAAACAGGTGTCAATGCTTCACTCAGTTCAGGAGCAACTTGTAGCTGCTACAGTGTCTCATGGGTTGACTTGATTGTCCCCAGGGTGTGGCCATCGGGGATTAGCTCTAGAGAGTCTTCCTGCCGTAGAGTCCTCTGAGATGACTGTCATGGGGGACCCCCCCATTCCCCATCACAGAAATTGTTCAATGGCACCAGAATGATTGCCATGGCTCAGTCTTTTCTCTTTCATTCTCTTCCTGGGATTTGAGCTCACATGCATGCCCAGTGTGAGTTTCAAGTTGTCAGGTCTGGGACTTGAACCACAGTTGACCATGTGGAAGTCCCTTAACCACCACACTACCTGCTGGGCCCTCTCTTTCTTCACTTTATCCTTAAGATTGGGTCTTGATTTTCTCCGTCAATCATGATTTATAAGAGAGAAAATCATTTCCTCTCAGGCTTCGATAGTTGTAGCTTTCTAGGCAAGTTTTGGTTCTTCTGTTTCTGAGAAATGTTTAATCATGCTCCTTGTAAAATTATACACACACACACACACAGACACACACACACACACACACACACACATATATATATATATAATTTTATTTTTTATTTATTTTATTATTTTTTTAGAGAGGGAGAGTTTTGCAATAGGTAGTGTGAGCTCACTGGAGAGACAGAGAGACAGAAAGCAAGAAATCACTCTCTCCGCAGGGAGAGGCACACCGCCATCCTTTCTTCTCCATTCTCCTCTTGGGATTTGGGCATGCACACACACACACACACACACACACACACACACACACACACAGTGTGAGTTTTATGCCACCAGGTCCAGGACTCGAAACATGTTGACTACGTGGGAGTCCAGCCATGTAACCATTACGCCATCTGCTGGTCCCATAAAACTGTATTTTTTACCTTTAGTTTATGTCTTAACTTCAGTTCTGGTCTTGATTGTAAACTACCTTGCTTTACTACACATGTGGCTATTTTCCATTCAAATCGTATTTGTCGTGTGATTTTTTCTGTTTAGCATATCTTCCCATTATAGGAAATA